ACCTCTAGGGCTGGCTGACTCCCAGCCTAGCCCAGAAAACGGAAGCCCCAGATTCATAGAGACACTGCTTCAAAGGAGTAGGTGGAGAATGATCAAGGAAGAGAGCTGACGTCCTCTTCTGGCCTCCACATATGCATAGGTCCATGCACCCACATGCACACACACACACAGGAAGGAAGGAAGGAAGGAAGGAAGGAAGGAAGGAAGGAAGGAAGGAAGGAAGGAAGGAAGCCAGCCAAGCATGGTTATGTATGCCTTTAACTCCAGCACTTGGGAGGTGGAGGCAGGAGGATCTCTGTGAGTTCAAGACCTGCTGACCTGCTACAAAGCAAGTTCCAGGATAGTCACAAAGTCAGACTCTGGTTCAAAAGCAAAAATCAAATCAAAACAAAACAAAAATTCCCCAAACAAATAAAACACAAAAAATAGGAAAAAAATGTATACACAAGGAAGTAGTGAAGATGTGTGTGTGTATGCACAGGAAAAAAATCCACACGAGGGCATAGCAAGAAGGCAGTCATATACAGGCCAAGGACAGACACCTCAGAAGCAATCGACCCTGCCTTCTTGGGTAGGATCCCATTCCTCCTGGGAGAATGTCTTCCTTCCTTCCTTCCTTCCTTCCTTCCTTCCTTCCTTCCTTCTTTCCTTCCTTCCTTTCTTGCTTTTCATCTCTCTCTCTCTCTCTCTCTCTCTCTCTCTCTCTCTCTCTCTCTCTCTCTCTCTCTCTGTTTTCTTTTTCCAGTTTTTCTAGACAGGGGTTCTCTGTGTAGCCCTGGCTGTCCTGGAACTTGCTCTGTAGACCAGGCTGGCCTTGAACTCAGAGATTTTCCTGCCTCTGCCTCCCAAGTATAAGGATTAAAGGAGAGGACCATCACTGCCCAGAGGGAGTATGTTTTTCTCATTTGCAGCAGGAAGCCCAGGGAGTTGCTCACACACCACACCACCTCCCTGGGTTAAGGTCTTCTCATGTATGAAATAGGAACAGCAGTTTTGAGCTCAGGTGGGTGTGGTAAGACGTATAGGGGAGGCATAGAGGTGGTGTGGGCACCAAAGGACCCACAGGAGGCCGAGGAAATCAGTGGGTCAGAGAAACACTTGCCAGTGTTTACCGGGTACGCTGGCTGCAGGTAGGGCCCTGGCACACTCCCAGGCAGTAACCAGCAGCTGTGAAGCTAGGGTGTCCTGCCTCCTGAGAGAGGCTCCCATGGGGTGCCCAGAGAGGCAGTCAGAATTGGCAGGAGGTGTGGCAAGTTGAGGACTCAGGGTGAACTCCACTGAGCATTCTCCAGGGGTGAGGTCACCTCTGGCTTCCCAGGGCCACAGAGTCCAGAGCAGGAGGGGGCAGTGTCAGATGTCAGGGTGGACACAAGCCCCGAGGGAAGCCCAAGAGCCTGGTCTAGGTGTGAAGCGGGTTAGAGCAGGGAGAGCTGGGGAGGGGAAAGTTTACCTAATACTTCTGAAGCTCTCACTGAGTGATGAGTGTTCAAACCTGCTATGGCCCCTAGTTCTACCCAGGACCTCAGTCAGCACTGCTGTGAGCCCCAATTTACAGGAGTGCATTTGGGGCACAGCATGGTGAAAACCTGCCCCAGAGGGAAAGCAATTTGCCTGGCAGGTAAGACACAGACTTTGGAATCTGACACCTGTTGAGTTCTAATCCCAGCTCTGACACTTGGTGTCATGCTACCCTGTGGGATCCTCAGTTTACCTTATGTGTAAAATGGCAATAACAATAGTCCCAGTCATTGAAGGTTATTGTGAGGACTGGGTGGGATGATATGGCCATATCACTCAGGGAGCATGGGCCATCATCATCAACCCAATTTTTCCTGATGTAGAACTGATCGGCTAATGGTAAACTAACCGGCGTAAGGCCGTGCTACGAGTAGGTACAGTGGAAGGCTTTGAACCCAGACCCGATTCTTCCTGCACCGTGGAGTGAGTGACCTGCCGGAAGGTGACACTCCTTGGAACAACTATCAGCCCAGACTTCCTGTGCAACCGTAGACTCTAGCCTTCAGCTCCTGGCTCAGGATTAGGCTTGCAGTGGGTGCTCCAGGCATTGGCGAGGAACCACAGCAGAATGCCTGGAAGTCTTGCTTGCTGCCTGGCATCCTGTCCAATGAGGACATGGCCCTGACATTGTTCTCTGGACCCTGCCTGCCAAGGGCCCACAGGTCAGGAATTTCCGAAGCCTGGCCAAAACTGTCTTCACTTTCTGGGAAAGCTGGGTAGCCATTTGTATGGGGGTGAGCAGGCCTTGTTCCCCTGGCCAGGCAGAGACTTTGGATAAGTGCGACTGTGGTTACATTGTGGACATCTTATTAACTTTCCAGGTTCTGGGCCTGGAGGATACCTCCATGGAGACAGTGACCTACACACTCACCTCTCCTACAGTCAAGGGAAAAAGCACTGTTTTAGGGGTGGCAGGAGTCAGGATACCAGGGTTCAGTCCTAGCCTACCCTTTCCTAAGTACTTAGGAGGGAGGTTGGATGCTACCCGAGCCCCCACTGTGCCCCAACACCAGCTTGGAGATGGCACACAGCCTTTTCTGGGGTATTTGGAATGCAAGCTTCTAGTTAGCATGGGCAGTCCTCTTTCTGGGCTGACCATTAGAGGGACCTCATGTACTGGGAATGTGACTCAGTGGTAGAACACATGCCTAGCATGTGTGAGGCCATGGATCTCATTTACAGCAGTGCAGTAAAAGCAATCTGTTTGTGACCTCCCCAGCCATCCCAGATGCCTGTGCTAAATGCCAAGGCTCCTGGTGGCTGGCCTTCCCTGTGGAATGCAGTCTCAGTGTCCTCCACTGTCCCTCGGTGCTCGGTGTCCTGTCACTAGGGAGGCTCTTGCCTGCCTGCAGGGTCTAGCTAAAGGCTGTAGGAGCTAAGGTGCTTCCGTTCTGCTTCCAGCCTCTAGGCCAGCCTCAGCAGGAGAATACCTGCAGGCAGGCCAACACTAAAATGGCTTAGTGTGCAGGGGAGCCTGTGGTGGCCCTTTGTCTCTCTTAGACTACCCACCTGGTGATCAAAGGCCTTTAGTAACATCCAGCATGGTGGTGTACGCTTATAATTCCAGTACTCAGGAGGCTGAGGCAGGAGGATGGTCTTGAGTTCCAGGCCACTTTGGGCTAGAGAATAAGACCCTATCTCAAGTCAATAAGTGAAGGGAAAGGTGATTCATCTTTCTCCATGTTGCAGCTGGGCTGCCTACCTCAGCTCCATAGCCCCGAGGCCCCATGGGGTACCAAGGCCACTGAGGGACTGCCACATCCCTGGTGAGATCAGCACCCAGAATTAGGCAGATCACCTGGGGCATTCTGTGCTCACAGCCCATGAGTCATGGACACATCCTCACTGACAGAGGCTGTCAACCTGGGACAGCTGTGTCCCTAGCCCTGGGCTCACCTCGCCTGTGGAAGCACCTTTTAAGGAGGGGGAACTTGGTTTCTCTCCCTCTGCCAGCTCTCCACATCTATCTAGGACAAGTCAGACTCCTACCTGGGTTCATATCTGGTAACACCATTTTTTTTTAAAGATGTGACATGGGGCAGGTCAATTTCTCTGAATTGGTTCCTTCTCTTATAATATGTAAAAAGTGCTTGGTGATTGGTACCTTTTAAGGGGTGGCAGTGGGGTATAGTAGGGCAGCCTCTAAGTTCTGACCACACCTCTTCCTCACCTGGTATCTTCAGTCACTCACCTCTGCCGGGCTCCTCTTCCGTAAAACAAGCCCACAATCCCTCTTGGCTTGCGAGGTAAAGACCACACCTTTTACAAGATGATGGAGGACTGGGGATATAGAGACCTTGCCTATCCTGTATGAAGACCCGGGTTCAATCCTCAGCACCGAATAAAACCAGGGCTGGTGCATGCCTGCAACCCCAGAACCCCAGCGCGGGCAGGAAGGAGGATCAGGAGTTCAAATTCATCCTTAGCAAGCTCAAGACTAGCTGGGTGTACACGAGACTGTCCCCAAGCAACACAAAGACACAGAAGAGAAATGCCTGGCCACTGGTGGACTTCATGACCTTGGCCATGCCCTCTAACCTCTGACCTTAACGTACTAGAGGCTACTACAAATGAAGACACTGACCAATGGCTGTTGTCCATTTACCTAGCTCAACAGTCACTAGGTCAGGTGCCTTCTCCTGGACCTGAGGTCTTTGGGACACCCTCCTGCCCCTCCATTCTGCTTCAGCCATGGCAAGCTTCTTGTCGGTCTGCAGGTCTCCGAGTTCTAATGGAACAACGTGTGCCACTGTGAAGAATGCACACACACCAAAGGACACTGCAAACCCGGTCCGGAGGGTGCCAGGACTTCTGTCGTCAAGTACTGACTGGTAGAAAGCGGGCATCGAGTCGAAGTGGCTGCTTAGCCCAGGACGGTGTTAGGCTGGGCTTTCTTGGTTGGGCAGCCTGGCACTCTTCATAGCCAAGGGAGCTGGAGAGGGAACAGGATGGGTGGAGAGTCCGGTCTCAAGGACTAGAACTTCCTGTGGGCACACATGGGAAGAAGTGCCATCCAGGCAGGGGCCAGAAGCCACTCTGGGAAGAAGGCCCCAGGAGGGCTGATGGGGGGGGGAGGGTCAATGGTCAGAGTCCAGGTCTTTTTTTTTTTAATTTGTTTGGTTTTTCGAGACAAGGTTTCTCTGTGTAGCCCTGGCTGTCTTGGAACTTGCTCTGTAGACAAGGCTGGCCTTGAACTCACGGAGATCCACCAGCCCCTGCCTCCCGAGTGCTGGGTTGAAGGTGTGCGCCACCACTCGGCTCAGAGTCCAGGTTTCTGAGACAACCACTTTTGGTAGAACCCCCAGCCCGAATTCCTTGAGCCCGCGTCCACATCTGGGAAACAGCACACTACCCTCTGGGCCCTAGAGGGCATGGGGATGTGACTGAGGGCATGATGGACAGGAAGAGAGGCCCCGGGGACAGCAGTGGGCCCAGGACACCCGTCCACCCTGGGCGCTCGGTGCCCACACAACAGACACTGGTGGCAGTGCAAACCTGGTTTTATTGGTCTGACTTGTTTGTTCACAGCTCCTCATCCTGCTCAGGGAACCAGAACCAAGGCCCGGCTAAGCCAGGGAGGGGACAAAGGAGGGAAGGGACAGCTACAGGGTGTGGGGTGGGCTCTGTTCTTCACAGCAAAGGTAGAGGGGTCACATAAAGTTCTTTATTACAGACCTACAAGAAATGAGAGAATTACACATCACTCTTGCTTGTTCAGCTTTTCAAACAGGGGCAGGAGAGGGCAGTGAGAGGCAAGAGAGGGGCTGGTGGTTCAGATCGGAGGACCGTGTTGATGGGGACTGAGCCTGCAGTCAGGCTACAGGCTGGCCCAGGCTCTCCCAGCATCTCGGGGAAGAGTGGCGGGCCCTAGAAGGAGCATTCAGTAGGAGGTGCACAGGATGGCCCACACCGGGGGTGGCAATGCTTGTCTGCTGGCCACCCTGGCCGAGGGCTGGCTCGGAAGCACCGGTGGCTTCTAGGTTTGGAGGTCTGTTGCCAAAGGCCGGACCCACAGGGACAAAACAGAGGGGTGGGGCAGGAAGGATGACTGCTCAGGGCTGGGAGTTCTACTAGGCTCCTCCCCAAACAGGCTCAGGAAGCAAGGGCAGCCAGGAGTCTTTCCTGCTTGTCAGCCAATCAGCTTCTTCAGGAAGGCTTCCAGCTGGTCCTCGTCCTTGATGCCCACAAACTTGTCCACCACATCTCCATTCTTGATGGCCAGCACTGTAGGCACAGCCGATACCTGGGTGAGGGAACCACAGACCAAATCACTTGGAGGGGAACGTGTCCCACGCACTTTCCCAAGCCTCTGTAGAGAAGGCCAACATCACAGGTTGTGCCAAAGGAAATGGGTCTTCGCTGGGTGCAGGGCCTGGAGGTCCACCCATTGGAGCGTCTTCCACTGCCAGCTCCCAGCAGTACCCTCCTCCATGATGAGGTGAAAATAACCAGTGCGCGCGCGCGCTGCATGCCGGGCTGCTTTCTGAGCCTCACAGCCCTTCTCTGTACACTGGGCATGGCATGGTTTACCTTGGATGTTTGGGAGAGACGTCAGAGTCCCACTGTGGGGCTCATTCCTATCCTGGGTGACCCTGGTGACCTCTTTATTACCTCGTGCCAGCTTTCCTCAGCAAGCGGAGACACTATCAGTACTTTTAGTGGACTACAGGAATGCCAAGTGACGACTCTAGGACTCAGCACAGGGCACGTGGCACACAGTGGGTGTGAAGCTTGACCCCATGAGGACCACTGTGGTGGGCTGCAGTCAATGGTATCAGGGACCGGAAATTCAGAGGCTCTTCCTGGCACAGCATGGCAGGAAGGCAGCCATATGTGATCTGATGATTATTAGGGCTGGCAGCAGATGGGGAAGGGGCATTCCTGGTCCATGAGGCACCACTTCCACAGCTCTGGGGACCCGTATAGTCAGATTACATGAAATATAGATGGGGCTGGCAAGCCTGGCATGGTGTGTTGCCCAGTGCTTGTATTTGGTGGCATTTGAGAACCTATATAAACAGAGGAAGATAAACCAGGCTTAATTTACATACAAGTTAACTACAAAGTAACGAGAGCAATGTCCAGAAACCTACTAGGTCTTCCACAGCCTGAGGGCTGTGGGGTGAGCCATCTCAGAGGCCAGAGTTAATCAGAGTTAATGCCCAAAGAGGTGAGGAGAAGTGAAGGCCGCTCTGGCCCTGTCATACAGCCCTCCCTTGTTACGTGACAGGCCCTGAAGCCATTCCTAATGGGAAACACAGCATGGAGGACACAGTCCTTGCTCTTTTTTTAGTGCCTCTGGCCCCTTTAAGGATGGTCCTGGAGGAGATGTGGGTGGCCCAAGGTATGTGCCAGCACGATGAACTGGGCTGACCACGAGTGTCCCTGTCACAGCCTCCCTGCTGGCTCTTGTCCTTGTTAGACTCTGGCACGGGTGGTGGCATTAACAGCCCAGCACCAGGCTTGCATGGTCTCCAGGAAAAGGCAGGGTCCAGCCGAACAGGCTCCAGGGAGCCCCACTGGGGTGTTCCTGCACCATCTAGTGGCTGATGAATGAACTGCAGCACCCGAAGGCTGGCTAGGAAATTAAAGGACAAGCTCAACCAACCACTAACTTTTCAACTTGGCTGAAACATTCTGTTGGTGGACATTCCATCCCTTTAAAACAAATACTCTGTTTCTAAGATGTGGTCTAGGGTTGAGGGTGTGGCTCGGTGGTAGAGTACTTGCCCAGCAGGCATGAGGCCCGGGCTCCATCCCAGCACCAAAAATCCAAACAAGCAGCTTCCCTTTGTCCTGGCGCTCTAAGCAGGCCTCTCCTCTCCCTCCCTGAGACAGCTCACAGTGGATGGAGTTTCCTCCTGCGAGGTTCTGCTGTGTGTGCAAGCCTCTGTGCATGCTGGGACACACAAAGATCAGGCTGGTGTCCATGGTTATTGAGCTCTGGTCACTTCTGATCAGGCGCTTTCTCAGAAGTCTGAGCCACACACATGCAAACACGCACACACAGGCTCCAGAGCACTGTTTCTAGTGGGGTTATCTGGATTGTGACAGGAGGCCAAGGTGTTGGCTGCTCCTTAATCAGGAGGCTTGGTGTTTAGAACACAGCCAGCAGTGTTAATGCTCAGGTCCTTGTATGTGGTCTTAGGAAGCGATGGGGACTGGGTTGTCTCAACCCCCGCCTCCACCCCGCTGCCAAAAAAAAAAAAAGAGAAGGTGATGGGAACACAGAGGCAACCTTGGTTTCCTCCTCAGTTTTGACAGGACAACAGGAATCAGGGCCTAGGGAAAGGACATGCTCAGACATGCTGCCTGTCCTGCTCCAAGAAGCCACCCGAGGCCTCCTACCCTGGAGGAGTCTGTCAGGAGTGTGAGTGCTCATGAGGCCTCTCCCCACTGACCCGCAACGTCGTCTCACCCACCAGCAACATGGCTAAGAAACCATCAAAGGACAGCACAGCTGACAGATACCACAGGAAGCTGGTGACCTCTGTGGCTAACTGAAAACGGCAGTGAGTGGGTGGAGGATGTTTTTAGGTGTCCCCAGGTTGGTCCATTTTGTTTCCCTGCACACAAGTGCTGTCACTGAGCGACATCCTAACCCTCCTACCCACCATCTTAGAGACGAGAAGACTAAGGCTCAAAGCACCTACCCCAAGAGGACTCAGAAAGCCAAGCGGGGATCAAACAAGAAACAAAGTCTGCTTGGCTTTGCTTCTGCCGGAGAGTGAAGGATCAGAGCCAGAGAGAACACAGACCCTAGAGGAAGAAACCCAGGGCTTTGGTATATGTGCCCTAGACACATACTTTACCGCTGAGCTACACCCTCACCCCAGAGTCTGCTCTTGGAGAATTCCATAAATGCTAGGTAGGTGTGGTGTAATTCAGCCTCAAGAGGCAGAGACAGGGGATCCCTATTGCAGCCTGGCTGGCAAGCTCTAGGTCTGAGACCTTGCTTCAGTGGATAGGTGTAAGATTGACAAGGATGGCCGGGCAGTGGTGGCGCACGCCTTTAATCCCAGCTCTTGGGAGGCAGAGCCAGGCGGCTCTCTGTGAGTTCGAGGCCAGACTGGTCTACAGAGTGAGTTCCAGGACAGGGTCCAAAAGCTACACAGAGATACCCTGTCTTGAAAAACAAAACAAATCAACCAACCAAACAAAAAGATTGACAAGGATGATTCCCAGCATCTACCACGGGCCTCCAATGGATGCACAGGTATATGCACGCAGACCCCGCCCCTCCATAAGCAAAACCATGCATTACCCACGTAAGAAAAATAAAAAGAAACAACAACAACAACAAAAAAGAATATTCCAGGAGGACCAGTGAGGTTGCTTGGTGAGTAAAGGCCCTTCCATGAAGCCTGATACCCTGAGTTCAATCACTGAAACCCACAAAATGGAGAGAACCAATTCCCACAAGTTGTCCTGACCTCTACACACGTCATGGCATGTGGACCCATGCACGCACAGTGATCATCAAAAACAAACAACAACCCAATCATAGTCAAGTCTGAGAGGCACTTATTTCCAAACAAGGCAATTAAAAACGACTAAAATGCCACATATTTTAAGCCAGTTAACGATTTTCCTATTGGGGTATACATGCTAAAAACAAAAAAACAAAAAAACAAAACTGAAAAGCCAAACCAAGCTGCAGACCCAGATCAGTTGTTAGAGTGCTTGCTTGGTGTGCAGAAAGCCTCAGGCTCCATCCCAGTGTAAAGTGGGAGTGGTGGTGCGTGCCTCTAACGCCAGCACTCAGGAAGTGGAGGCAGCAAGATGAGTTCAAGGCCAGCCTCTGCTATGCACTGAGACTGGGACCAGTCTGGAACACCTTCCCCCTCAACACTGTCTCCAAAAAATTAATTAAAAGCTTCAGACAAAGTCACTCAAGTAGTGACAGTGGCTGTGTCAGCTGGTCAGGTTACAGGAGACGCCAGCTCATCAGGATCCAACCTTCAAGTGTAAGGCTGAGAGAGAAACCTCGGGGGACAGCGGATGGCCCATTCCTTCCTACTGCCCTGCCCCCCAGGAACTAGCAAGGTCTCAATGGTCAGGAGATGGGCAAGTGAAAGCCTTGCACCCCATGCAGAATAGGAGTAGGGGTTGTCAGTGAAACCCCCAAAGCCTCTAGGACTTTTCCTCCCTGTCCTCCAGGGGCAGTGGAAGTCAGCATGGGTATGGAGGAAGCATGAGAGAGTCAGGAGGGCTTGAGGACCTAGAGGAGGCTTCCCAGGGGACTGGGGGTCACTTGGTGGCAACTTCCTTCTTGGACTCTCTTTAGAAAGAACAGGTGGGAGAGAAGGGATGGCGAGGAGAGGGCAGGACGATCCTGTTGGGATTCCTGGGCCCTCAGTGACCCAACCCAGGGTTTGACAAAACAAGGAGGCCAGGAGGGGGATATGCAGGCTGCTGTCCAGATGCCTTTCCCTGTGACCAGGGCACTGTGTGGACTTGGGGGGAGGGAGTGGGGGGGGGAGTACAAGGGTCCCAGAGACTCCCTCACCTTCCTGCCTTGCCACGGGCTGTCCACACTCATGCCAACCCACGTTCACTGGAGTGTAAGGAGTCGTGGTGCTGGGAACTTGGCACCTGTGGGAGCCCTGTTGGTGGAGGTGTGCTCTGCATCTTACTAGTTCCCAGGCCTTGGCACATGGCTGCTCTGCAGCTCTCTGCCAAAGACATGATGCTGAGGCTGACACGGTAGCATCTGGAGGTCTCGGGAGGTAGCCTGGAAGTCTTAGGCTGACCTTTGCCCTGTGTGACTGCAGCCTCGAGTTCCTACCAGAAGGCCACACATTCACACTTGAACCTGCTGAGGCCTGGGGTATGCAGTGCGTAAGCTAGGGAAAGTCAGGGGTGTCTCAAAGGTGGAGGGCCCCCTCCGACTGAGCAATTGTTGGGAGGGCTCAAAAAACAGCAACTGCCTCCATCCCATGCCCTTGAGCGACCTGGGTTATGAAGTCTCAAGGATGGCCTTACATCAGCAGCAGCCATCAATGGCCTGTCTCCCACAATTCATTTCCTCTCCTCTGCCCCAGGCAGCTTGATGTCCTTTGACTAACCACTCCGCTTTCTGTTCAGCTCAAGGGATGGGTGACAGTTCTCACACTGCCCACCCCTCTGTTTCCCACCATGGGCTCTGATCAGAGGATGGGTAAGCATACTTCAGCTGGTCTGGGGGAGGTAAGCATGGTTAACTGAGCCTGGGTGTTTGAATTTTGAGAGAGAAGGACCCCCTCCAACACACACTTCCTCCAGTCTCTTGCATCCAGAGGGAGGGAAAGGTTCCCCTGGCCTTGGGATTTCAAGAACTCAGGAGATGTGGATTTTCACAAGAACGTTTTTTTTTCCCCCAAGATAGAGTTTCTCTGAGTATCTTTGGCTGTCCTGGAACTCACTCTATAGACCAGGCTGACCTCAAACTCACTGCCTGCCTCCCTAGTGCTGGGATTAAAGGCATGTGCCACCACGCCTGGCCAAGAACTTTATTTGGAGACAAGGTCTTGCTGTCTATTCCAGGCTGCCCTGATGCTGGGTTTACAGACATGTGCCACCATGCCTGGCTTGCACAAATCCTTCTGAGTTTTAAATATCAACCCCTGGTTTCCCCTTTCTTAAAACACTCCTGAGAGCCAGACCAAGCATGCCTGTGAAGCAGAGCTGGCCCCCAGGCAGCCAGGTGTACCCCTGGCTCTGGGACAGTGTCACTGTCAGCACAGCTTCCCTAGGACCCCCTGCCTGTCCCAGCCTGGTCTGCTTTCCCAGCCACTGGGCCTCCCAATCCCTGCTCTTCCTTTCATGCAGTCACCCAGCCACAGAGGGCCTCTCTCCTTCCTCAACTGTGGTGGTCCAGGGCCCACAACAGCCCACCTCCCTGGGTACGGTCTGTGGCCAGCCGGGGGCTCTTTCCTGAGACATGCACACTTCACTCACTACCCATTTCAGGCGCTGCTCTCATGGTCCCTCCTCAGAAAAGACAGTCCTCTGACAGATTTGATGACGCACACCTGGAAGCGCTGTACTTGGAAGGTGGCAGAGGGCCAGAAATGCAAGGTCACTCTTACGTGGTGACACCAAGGCCAACCTGAGCTTCGGAGGACTCTCCCTCAAAAGGCCAAACCGAAGAACAAAACCAAAAGGAAAACAAAGGAAGTCCCCGGCCCCTGCCCTGTTTCTGTCTTTCTACAGAGCCCACCAGCGTTTGGAGATTTATACAGACATCATTGGCCGAGTGTCCCCCCAGCCAAAACTTTCACCTCTGAAACCCTCCACAAGCCATAGTGATTACCTGTGACTGCCAAGGCCTCTGTACTGGGAGGCCTTACCTGGAAGCAGCAAGTGGAACATGGCCCTCAGGCCAAACTCTGCTTGCTGTTCATGTCTGTAAACAGAGCTACTGGAACATGCCACAGCCTTTAGTTTGTCCTGTGGCCGTGGATTTAAGAGACAGTTGAGCTGCTGCAGGGGTCACTGCCCTGCAACGCCTCATGTGTTTAACTACCCGCTCCTTCAGGGATTCAAAGTTCTTTTTCTTTTTTTTTTTAAAAAAAAAGATGTATTTTGCCGGGTGGTGGTAGTGGTGCACACCTTTGATCCCAGAGGCAGGTGGATCTCCGTGAGTTTGAGGCTAGCCTGGTGTACAGAGTGAGTTCCAGGACAGCCAGAGCTGTTACACAGAGAGACCTTGTCTTGAAAAATACCAAAAAAAAAAGTATTCGCAAACTTGTTTTTGAACTTTGATATTATTTAAATGTTTTTATTTATTTACTTTTTTTTTAAAATGGGTATGGGAATTTTGTCAACAAAGGCCAGAAGAGGGTGTCTGATCCTCTGAGACTGGAGTTGTGAGCTGCCATGTGGGTGCTGGGAATTGAACCCACATCCTCTGGAAGAGCAGCCAGGGCATTTACTGCTAAGCCATCTTTCCAGTCCCTCAACACTCTCGAATGCTGTTTGGTGAGGTCAGAGTGTCTTTTGTTTTGAATTTTTCCCTTTACTTGTATCTGATGTGAATGGGTATTTTGCATGCATGTTTGTCAAATGCACCTTGTGTATGCAGGGCCAAAGGAGGCCAGAAGAGAGGGTCACAGCCTCTGAGGCTGTAAGGATTGATTGTGAGCAGCCCTGTGGGTGTGAGGAACTGAACCCCGCTCCTCTAGAAGAGCCTGTGCTCTTAACTGCTGAGTAATCTCTCCAGCCCAAGGTCAGTGCTGTCTGCTGCCACATCTAGCACCTGGCACCAGGACTCGTGCTGGAGCTGAATGCCCACACAAACAAGCCGATTCCTTCCTGTCCTTTTGTTGTTTTGTATTGAGTCTAAGGCTCACTCTGTACGCAGGCTGGCCTCGACCTTGTGCCGTTCTTCCTGACTCTGTCTCTGGATGGCAGGGGTGAGCCCCCACTTCCAGCTCCTTCAGGTCTCTGCTCGTGGCTCTCAGCCCTTTCCTTCCCTCTGTGTATCCTTCGCTCACACTTCAGGTCAGAGGCTCTGGAACGTGAAGCCTCCCCTGGCCTGGCCACGTCCCCCCTTTAACCTGCAGTGCCCCTTCTCACACAACTTCTCATTCCAGGTTGCAATGAGCATCCCAGCATGCCCCTTACCCGTGCCAGATCCACCCATGCCTGGCATGTCAGCCAGGGTTCATGAGCAATGGCTGGCTGCACGTGAGGCGGGTAGCCAGACGTGGTGGCGGGAGTCCTACAATCCCAGCAACTGAATGGCAGAAGCAGAAGCGTCCGAAGTCCGAGGACAGCTTGGGTGATATGAAACCCTGTCTTAAAAAACCGACAACAGCCGGGCGGTGGTGGCGCACGCCTTTAATCCCAGCACTCGGGAGGCAGAGCCAGGCGGATCTCTGTGAGTTCGAGGCCAGCCTGGGCTACAGCGCGAGATCCAGGAAAGGCGCAAAGCTACACAGAGAAACCCTGTCTCGAAAAAACCAAAAAAAAAAAAACCGACAACAGAGAATGGCTAGTGCTTTGGGCCGTGTAACCCACTCCCGAAGAGTGTCGGAGGATCAACAGAGCCGCGTGTGCAAGGCCCCGAGACCTTCCTCCTAAGAGCACTAGAAGAACACCAGACATGCCATACACTGGCTATTGGGTGATCCCCACCTTGGCTTCCCTGAGGCAACTCCCTGCCAAAACATACCTCGTACTCGATGGCAAGGTCCGTGTGGTCGTCAATGTCCACCTTGGCCATCACCACCTTCCCATGCTGCTTGGCCACCATCTTTTCTAACCGTGGTCCTAGGATCTTACAGGGGCCACACCACCTCAGGAGGTGAGAAGGGACAGTCAGTCCTGAGAGTGCTCGCTGACCCACCTGTCTCCCCAGAGCCTCCCTGGGGCCCACGTGGACTCTGATGGCAGAGCTAAAGGGAGCGTAACCCGGGAGCATGTACGACGGCCAGTCTGTGTGTTGGAGCCTGCTCAGCGATGTGCAGACCCTTCAGAGAGCGAAGGCATCCCCTAGAGAAACTGAGGCTTGTGGAGTTTCTTACAGATGACACACGGTAAGAAGCACAGCCTGGCACGGGGGTACAGTCCAGTAATTCCTGAACTAGGGAGAGGGTTCGCTGGCCATGCCTGTGGGGGATTATCTCGATGAGGCAAACTGAGGTGGGAAGACCCTCCAGTTGTGGGTGGGCGGCCCCACTCTCTGAGCTAGGATTCTGAACTGTATAAAAAGGAGGAAGTAGTGAGTGTGCAAGACGGCTCAGCGGGTGAGGGCGCGTGCTGCTGGGCCTGACTACCCCGTTTATCTTGGGAGCTTACATGGCCGTAAACAATCACTCCAGAAGGCTGTCCTTGACCTCCACGTGTACACCATGGCACGAGCATGCGTGTAGGCACACACATAATAAATAAATGTTAAAAGGTGGGGGGGGGGGGGAGTAGGGAGTTGGGCACAAATATCCCTCCTTCTCTGCTTCTTCCTGATGGACACAATGTGACCAGCTGCCCCAAACCCTTGCCACTGTGACTTCTCTGCCACGATGGACTGCATTTAGTGCTGTGAGCCAAAAACCTTTTCTCCCTTGAAAGTCAGGGTATTTATCACAGCAACAAAAAAGTAACTAAGACAGGAAGAAAGAGGAATAGGAACTTGAGGCTAGCCTGGACTACATAGCGAAGCCTGGTCTTGATAGAGCAAGCAGAGCAGAGCCAGGATCACCTCAAGGTTGCTAAAGGCATCTTCCTTTCTTTCCTCCTTTTGGGGAGGGGTGGTGGTTCGAGACGGGGTCTCACTATGTAGCCTTGTTGGTCCGGAACTCACTTTGTAGACAAGGCTAGCCTCAAACTCAGAGATGCATTTGTCTCTCGAGTGCTAGGATTTTTTTTTTTTTTTTTTAGACAAGGTTTCTCTGTAACCCTTTCACTCTAGGATTCCCTGATTTCTTATTTTGTGTCACCTGCTGAGGCTCACACTGCAATGGACGTGAGTGATCCCTCCTTGGCTGGGGAGTGGGAACTCCCCTAGGACAGATGCTGTGCTATCTATCAGCTATCCTCTCTGTATGTGGTGCCAGAGATGCGCCTGGCACTAAGTGAATGAACCTAAATCATGCAAGCAACTACCATGGAGAGAAAAAAAAAGGTTAGCTCACTGCCCATTCCTTTCAGAAGCCCTCCACCATAGCAGAAAGGTGGAGTAATTGCCTTCCACAGATCCCTGGCTGTCAACCCCCATTTTATCCTTTTCTATGAGCTGGCATATGCCAGTCATCTCTTATATGTAGTAGGTGGAGGCAGGAGAGGCTCAAGTCTGACCTGGGCTACCCCAAAAACTTCCATTCAGAAATTTCAATCAATGAAGAAACCTAAATACCTAAAAAGCCAGCTTGCAAGGCCTTATCTCAGATGACAAGGACACCCACTGGCCTGTCCGAGGCAACTTGGTGAGTTGGAGAAAGGACCAGGAAGAAAACAAAGAACCTGTGAGACGTGTCTAGAAAACCCCCTAATGTTAATCAGACGCACTGGTTTTGTTCTATGGGGTCTGTTGGTTTTGGGTTGAACCAGGTCTAGAGGTCTGGAAATGAAGACCAGGCTAAAATGCAGGTGTTTATATATCTCTAAAACACACTCCTACTACACCGAGAAGACACACCTCTTGCCTGCCCCAACCACACTTGGGTACTACTATGGTGGCACTGATAATGTTTTGCCCAGCCCCTCCCACAGTTTTTTTTTTTTTTTTTTTTTTTTTTTTTTAAAAATTTATTTATTATGTATACAGTGTTCTGTCTGTATGAATGTCTGCAGGCCAGAAGAGGGCACCAGATCTCATTACAGATGGTTGTGAGCCACCATGTGGTTACTGGGAATTGAACTCAGGACCTCTGGAGGAGCAGTCAGTGCTCTTAACCTCTGAGCCATCTCTCCAGCCCCCCTCCCACAGTTTTAGTGGGCAAGATGTTAAAATAAAATGATGTTATTCCACACTAGAGAAGACTCTGAGCTTTTCAGGCAGTAAGACACAAGACATAGGCACAATGCAGCACTCACCCTGGTCTGCTCTGAAGACTGTCTGTCAGTCCGTCTCCTACTACACTGTATGCTTCTTAAGGGCAGGTACTAGGTCTCAAAAGTCTTTATAATGAGTTTATGTACGAGAAGCATTGAACATGACTGGGAGTAATAGTGGCCACCCGATAAATACTTGTTCAAGGAAGACCCCCGCCTCTCCCTGTTCCCAGTACTCACTGTGCATGAAAATCCACAACAACCGGCGTCTCACTGTTGACAACCCTGTCTTGGAAGTCAGGTCCATCCTGGACGTTAAAGGTTGTTGAACAGACTCTGGTGGTGTGTAATGTCCGGGCTGGGCTGGGTGTTCCTGTCAGACCACCAGGACTGTACTTTGGGGTCTGCAGAGTTCTAGAAGTGAGGGAAGCCCATCCACCCTGAGGTGGCTTCCTGGGAATGACTGAGATCAGGAACCTCCTCAGGAGAAGCCGCTGAGCCATCTGTGAGGGAAAGAGGCAGGAAGAGCTGGGGTACACAACAGAAAGTCAACACATTAGGATAGCAAAGTATTTTGAAGCGTTGAGGAGTTGGGAACATGCAGAGCTGGAAGTAAAAATGCATGGGAATACTGTAATATATGATTTTTGAGGGCCAGGACTTGTCATTCCTGCACTTGGGAGGCTGAGGCAGGAGCATATAAATCAAGGTTCATTTGGGCTATATAATAAAACCCCGTCTCTAAACCCTCCACCCAACAACAACAAGACTCAGGTGGAATTTCTAAAAGGTTGACGGAAGGAGGACCAAAGCTCAAGCGTGTGACATCACTGGTTCTCCCAGATCAACTCTGAAGAAACCGTTTTAACACCGTCCAAAATCAGGGCAACCCAGGCCTCAGGTAGGTTGAATGACATGCCCAAAGCAACCCAGTTGTTAAAGGACAGTTAATTGGAACCCAAGGCCCGTCTGTAAAATCTTTACTCTGTCGTCGATCGCTCTTTTAAAATGCGTTTCCATGGAAAATTAAGGAGGGAAAAGGGAGCTGTCGAAGGAAGAGCCAAGAAGAATCCCAACTACGGAAGGAGGAACTAAGTAGCCTAGGAACTAGACATGGGGTACCAAAGAGAAGGGGGACGTGTGTACGGAGGGAAACGGAGAGACCCGGAGCACAGGGCGTGAGGCTGCCGAGGCCAGGTCCCCCTTCTCGGGTCCTCCCTCCGCTGGTGGCCAGCTTGTACAGCAGCGCGCCACCTCTGCCGCCCAGCCTACCCCGCGGGGCCCCTACCTCCCGGCACTTCGAGCGGAGGGATGCACAGCCCGGCCGGCCTGCCCGTCAAGGGCACTGCTGTTGTCACTTCCTCAGGGGCGGGTCTAGCGTCATTTCCGGGAAAGACTACCCGGACGGCGTATCTCCGCAACTTGGGGGCGGCTTGATATTTTCCACCAATGAGGATGACGAAAACAGGTACGAGCGAGGGGGGCGTGACCGGAAGGAATGGGATCCTGGAGGAGGGACCGGAAGAGGGTTGGGACCAATGAGAATGAGAGGGCGGGAGGAGGGCGGAGACGAAGGCGTGGCTTTGGATCAAATCCCTGTTGTGTTGCGCCCTCTTGGCACCGCTCAGCCCTGTATCTTGGCTCGGGAAAGTGCTGGATGTTGTGTTCACCTTAATACCGCAGAAGGAAGCTCTGTTCCCGCAGAAGCTTAGTGTTTAGAGGGAGAGATTCCCTGGCTGGGGTTGTGGCTCCGTTGGTAGAGTGCTTGCCTAGCACACATGAATCCTGAGTTCGATCCTCAGTACCACCTAAACCGGGTGTGATAGCACACAGGAGTAATCCCAGAATCCCGAGGCCGAGGCTGGAGGGCTCAAGATTTCAGTCATCCTTGACTACATAGGGAATACTTGAGACCCTCACACACACACACAGACGTGGGATTCAAGGGGTTATTCTGTGGTCCTTGGCCTTGTCTGCCCAACGTAACGTCTTATGGTCACGAGCAAGTCCCTGCCCCTAATGGCTGGTGGTGCTTCTAAACCCTCAAGCTTCTCTCTTTAGAATTGTTGGGGAAGCTGGCTTGCCTTTGAGACCCAAGCCGAAGTGTTACCTTGGGCCTGGGCTTTCCCTCCATTTTCACTGGCATGAGTAACTGAGGTCTCAGTACCTTATTTCTGCATATTATGACTGGTATTTCAGTCCCTTACGGTTCTGGGAACACACGGCTGCTCATATCCTCTTCCACACCTTTGCTTACTTTGAACTTTGTCTCCCGGTACTTAGAACACCTGCCCATCATGTCTTCTGTCTAGTGCTTGCTTTGTAACTCTTCGTAACACATTACAGTGTCTCTTCCACTAGGTCTGTGCTTTCTGAGAGTAGGAACTTGTGTCTGTCACTCATCTGCATATACTTAGCGCCAACCTGGTACAGCACCCGGCCTGGAGAGGCCAGTAGATGCTTACTGTTCAGTAGATTCTCACTAAATTGAGGATCTTTGCACATCTCAGCAAGTGGTTTCTGTCAAAGGGTTATGTGATGTGTCCAAGCAGAAGCAGGCAGATTGGCAGGACTCTACCTGCCACGCCGTTTCAACCCCCTCTCTGATTAGTTAGTGGTTTGCTGAGGTATCTCTGGTATTCTGCATTTGCAGTTGTTGCGGGAAGGCTTTCCCAGAACTCCCCATTTGAGAGAAATACTTCCAGGCACTAGGTTCCACATGGTCTCTGGATCCCTTTTCTGTCTCTTCCAGTGGGGGGAGGACCACCTCTCTGCAGCTGTCAATCACCATTCTCCATGCTTTCTTTTCTTTTCTTTTCTTTTCTTTTTCTTTCTTTCTTTTTTTTTGCTTTTTTTTTTTTTTTTTTTCAAGACAGGGTTTCTCAGTGTAGCCTTGGCTGTAGACCAGGCTGGCCTCGAACTCACAGAGATCTGCCTGCCTCTGCCTCCGGAGTGCTGGGATTAAAGGTGTGCGCCACCACTGCCCGGATCCATGCTTTGTTTTCTTGTCTGGTCCCTTCTTTTCTGTTTTCCCTCCCTCTCCACATCCCTGCTTCTTGTCCACTCCCTCCCTCCCTCCCTTTCTACCTCCATTCTCTCTCCATCTCCCCTCCTCCTCTTACCTCCCCCTCTCTTTCTTTCTTAGAGTCTCATTTATCTCAGATTAGGTTTTATGCTGGGGATTGAACTAAGCAAACACTCGACCAACTGAGCTGCATCTCCAGCCCCAGGGTCTATTCTTCACTTTACTGTCAACACTGCTCTCTCTCTCTGTGTGTGTGTGTGTGTGTGTGTGTGTGTGTGGTGTCTCTGCAAATACCACAGTCAACAGAGTAATGACCTGCGATCTGTGTGAGGCAAGAAGGGAGCCCAGTTCAACATGACTAAGTAGCTAGTGTTGGTTCAAACTCTGAGAGTGTGACACTGGGTCATTTATTTTTATTTATTTATTTATTTATCTATTTATTTGTTTGTTTATTTATTTTGAGACAGGGTTTCTCTGTGTAGCTATGTGCCTTTCCTGGGTCTCGCTCTGTAGACCAGGCTGGCCTTGAACTCACAAAGATCCGCCTGCCTCTGCCTCCCGAGTGCTGGGATTAAAGGCCGCTGCCGCCGCCGCCGCCGCCGCCGCCGCCGCCGCCGCCGCCGCCGCCACCACCACCACCACCACCCGGCTTGGGTCATTTATTATAGGCATGTTTAAGCACAGCACAATTTGGAGAAAAGTTCCCTGGTGACAATTAACTTAATCCCATGTGCACCATAAAGCTTAAGACATGAGCACATGGAAACTCTTCGCAAAGTACGTGTGCTATCTCCCATAAAGATGGGTTTTTAGACTGACTACATGTGACATCTTAAGGGTCTAGGGGAGGATCTGGTGTGGTCTCGGTCATAAAGATAGCACAGAGGTCGCCAGGCTGTTAGTCACCTCCACTTGCAGCCTTCTGGGTAGAAAACAGGTTATACCTCTCTCCCTTTGAAGAGACAACCGTGAGTTAACATTCCTGGTTTCCATAGCGCTCATCTGTGAACGCAAGAACCTCTGTGCCCCTTGTACTGCAGGGTCTGTCTTCATTACTTGCCTCAGGATCTGAAATCACAGGAGGCGCCCAGTGACTCTAGGAGGTGCAGCAGCGACCCAAATTGAATCTTCTAACTTCAAATCCATTTTCCTCACCACATTTCATGGCTCCGCTGTACCCTTCCAAATCCAGCGTCATGCTCTCATCCAGCTCATTTTGGCCACATCCTGTTTTTATTTGTCCTCTGTCCAATTGGCAGGTCCCAGTGCGGTGCAGGGCTTTCCCTCCAGGATAGACTGAGGGAAGCAAGTCTACTTGCCCATGCCAGCCTTCCACTTAGTCGAGTCTTTTCCCCTTTGAAGGCCGAAGACTAGGTCAGATATGGGCAGAGTGGTCCCTCTACCTCGCCGGCTCTCTTGTCTTAGGGTCTGTCCTCATCCCGGATGACAACCCATGAGGGGATACCCAGATTCCCTCCCTCCCCGTCCCGGGCTCCTGAGGTCAGCCTCCCTTGCTGCAGCTGTTGCTGATGATGCCAGGCACCATCTGGCAGGGTGCTCTTGCCCCACTTACTTCCATATCTGCTTTTCTGTGTCTCCAGCACTTTCTCTTCCCCAGCCACCTGCCCCTCCTATTCAGCATTTTCAGAGCAGTTTCTTGAGAGCAAATTCCCTTGCTTGAGGCGCATTCTGAATTCTAAAGCAGGTCCAGTCCTGTTTGTGTCTATTCTATAATCACCCAGGCTTCTCATCTGAGAAATGAGAACAATATGCCTTCCTCAAAGAGGGGCCGTGAGCCGGGTGATGGTGGCCCACGCCTTCAATCCCAGCACTTGGGAGGCAAAGGTAGGTGGACCTCTGTGAGTTCGAGGCCAGCCTGGTCTACAGATTGAGTTCCAGGACAGCCAGGGCTACACCAAGAAACCCTGTCTCGAAAAACCTGTGGGAAGGACAGAATATGGGAGCTGGTGTGATGTCAGTTCCCTTTCCTCCAGCAGGTGTACTGCCCATGACACAGGCTAAGCTCCCAGCAGGTTGCCAACCAGCCACTCAAGGTACCTGGTGGTACCTGTGTCTTGGGACTGGCACATTCATCAGTCAGATTCAGGTCACAAGCTTGAAGCAGAGGGAAAGGACTCAGGACAGGCAGTCACACTGTCTTTCACATGAATTATGAGCATTGGGGAAATCAATGTTGTGATCAGTTAAATTTTTTTCTTTCTTTCTTTTTTTTTTAGATTTACTGTTTATATATATGGGTGTTTAGCCTGCATGTATGTACGTTCATCACATTGCTGCCTGGTGCCTGCAGAGGTCAGAAGAAAGCATTGGCTCCCCTAGAACTGGTGCTATATAGATTCTGGGAACAGAACCCGGGACCTTTGCAAGAGCAACAAGTGCTCTTAACCACCAAGCTGTCTCCCAGCTCTCTGTGATCAGTTTTTTTTTTTTTAAAAAAAAATCAAAATTAGCTCAGCATGGTGGCACGTGTCTTTGATCCAAGTACTTGGGAGGCTGAGGCAAGTGTATTAGTGGGTTCAAGGACAGTCTGGTTTATATAGTCTGGCTTATTCAGCCAGGGCTACATAGAGAAACCCTGTCAGAAGAAGAAGAAGAGGAGGAGGAGGAGGAGGAGGAGGAGGAGGAGGAGGAGGAGGAGGAGGAAGAAGACCGATCAGAATAGAGGCCTGGGGTGTATTGTAGCTCAGTTGGTAGAGTGCCTGCCCAGCTAGCATGCACAAGATCCCCAGCACTGAGACAGGAGAATCAGAAACTCAAGATCATTCTTGGCTACATATCAAGTTCATGGCCAATCTGGGCTGCAGGAGACCTTGTCTCATACAAAATAAAACAACGAAACAGAACGGAGTTGAAAATGCCAGAACTTGCCAGGTGTTCCCAGCAGTGCTCCACGTCTGTTACTGTTACTGTGTACATGACTGCGTGACCAAAAAGAATCTTTCTCAGGGATGGTCTTGTGTCCTTAGCCTCCTGAATGCCGAGGTGACAGCCTTTAAATGCTTCTCTTACTGCCGGTTGTGGCCGAAGGGTTCGAAGTGTGCTGCTATGTTGCAGCGTTACCACAGAAATGGCCAGCACTGTTGTTGGCCTCTTGCTTGTTTAACTCATCACATCCCACCACCCGCTGAAG